ATTTAACTCGTCAGCTCATTAATAGAGACTTTAAGACCTGAAGTGGGTCAGAAAAGGTAAAAAGAGTTGAGAGAAAATATGATGCGTCAAATCCGTGTCACGTTCAGCAGCGACAGCTCTTAAAGAAATAACAGCCAAAACAACCTAACAACCAGCTGCTGTGATGTCTATTAATCAAAGGACAAAGAAAAAAGAGGGAAAAAATCCTCATAAAAAGGATTCATCTATATTTAATTTAGAATTTAGTGTTTGATAACTTCAATTTCTGTATATTTCTGCTGAAGGGCACAGGTAAATATGACATTTATTATAATGGGTTTATGTGAAGATTGTTTTAAGTTCACTTAAATTAGAAGTTATTGATATTATAATTGATAGCTCTCAATATACTGTAATGATGAATGGCTATAGTCAATGGTTAAATATTGGGGGTGGGGCTAATTCAAGAGCTAATTCTGCTTGAAGAGTTCAGAAATTGCGTACCTGAAAGTGTGGAAGTTCACCTGAATGAACAAAAAGTCACCTCTGTTAATGATGCTGCGGTGTTGGCTGACGGTGAATTTGTACTGACACATAGGAATGTGTTTCTCAATTCCCAGCATAATGTAATGTTCTCTCAAAATGTTAGCCCTAAAGTACAACCCCTAACTCCTTATGTACCAAACCTGTGACACAGCCAAATTTGTCAGAGAAAAAGAAAAGTCAGCTTGTTTTTTAGGGCCAGGTAGGTTTGGACAGCTTTTTTCCCCCTTAATAAATGAAATTATCATTTAAAAACTGCATTTTGTATTTACTTGCATTATCTTTGCATAATATTAAAATTGGTTTGATGATCTGAATCTTTTAAGTGTGACAAACATGCAAAAAAAAAAAAAACAGGAAGGGGGCAAAAACCTTTTCACGGCACTGTATATACATATATTACAGTTCTTCTCAGTCGCTTTGGTGCATTTCTCGAATCATCCTTAATATTTGCAAAGTATGTACATTTCTCAAAACAATTCGTTCAAACAGCACCACACAATGCATTACCTGCAAAAGCCTGTAACTTACTCAAAATCTTTAGTTCATCTCTCAAAAGCAAGTATTTATGTCAATGAACATATCAGTGCCATCAGCAAGAAAAGTCCTTGTGTCACTGTTCACAAACAAGTAATTTGTCCCAAACAATAGTCAAAATGCTTAGTCATGTTGTCAATATAATCTGTTAGTATTACCTGATGTAAACTATGGCAACAGTTTGGATGAGTTACTGTATTGAAATGCAGAAGGCTGCACTTCTTATGTATGCCATATATCCATTTCAAAAGTGAAAATGCACACATTACTGTATGTGGGATATTGATCGAAAGGGACTGGATAGGATTCAGTTATGGTCTAACAAAAAAAAAAAACTTACGTTATTGTGATATAGAAAAGAAAGAAAAATATAGGCACAAAGGCGAAAATACAAAATTAGAAAGGCAAACACAGGAAACACAACTTTGCTTTTGCATGCAGCACTGTTTGAGGATTTGCAGTGTCTGTCTACACATCCTGACGTGCCAGTCTGTCGGCCCAGAGATTCTCATCTACATCCCAACGAATATCTTTGCAATGTGGAATTGGAGTCAAGTGAACCATCTCACAACTTCATATAGGTGGATGAGGCTGGCTTCAACCTGACCAAAAGCAGAAGGTGTGTCATCGGCCACAAAGCTACTGTTGATTTGCCAGGCCAACAGGGAGGAAATATCCATTGCCAGATTTTGTAACTCTTGTGTTGTCCTCTCTCTATATGCTTTCCAATTGAAGGTTCATGAGATGCACATTTGAGGTATTTCAGAGAACTGGTTTATCATTAGCTGATCTACATTCTCTTCTTTAGTGAAAGTCAAGATTCACCAGCACAATTCATGGCAAATTTACAAAAAGTCTAATAGAAATGTGTAGAAAATATGCTTGACAGTTTATGACAACTAGATCAACCATTTTGCATTTAATGACTTATATGATGAACTCAGATGTTTTGGGGGTAAGACTATTGCACAGAGAACTATTTAATACATTTTGAGCAACATGACATTAGCAACTGACAATGTAGGAAACCGCAGACAAATGTACATAATCAATTGCATGAACGTACCAAAGTAATCGCAACTTGTTCAAAAGAATGAGAAACTGCTTTTATGATGTGCACGATTGACTGTGGAGGTTGAACAAGTAGTTTTGAGAATTGCATTTCTGATCTGAGAAATGCACCAAAGCAACTGAGGAAAAACTGTAACAACAAAATTGTCTGGCTTTAATGATAATTACTTAAAATTATTTTATATGATTTATATAATTATTATGATTTATATTATTAATCCATAACACACAAGCAATTTTAGTTTAACAATTATTATAAAGCATATATTTTAAATGAATATTAATATATACAGGTCATATGTAATATAAATAAGCTGTAGAATCAATAGATAACGCTTTAAAAGTGACTACACGTGATCTTACATATTCGAGTCTATATGCTATTATCAACTATTTAAACTAACTTCATGAGTTTCACGTGCACTGATAGAGCAAGATAAGTTTTTATTTGTCATCTTTCATGGACAAGTACTTTCTTGAGTGTAAATGCGTTTAAATTCCTCATATTCTTCAATCTCTTAACCTTTAGCGAAAGAGTTTTGAATCTCACTGGGTCTCTCGCGAGAAGTGAATCACACTTGCTCTGTGTTACAAGGCATGTGATTGGCTGTTCACCACTGATGTCACACAGTCATGTGCACGCGCACCACAAACTTAGGATCAAAGCCAGAGTTGGCAAAGAAAGCTTATGATCAGCATCATGGTACCAACCAAGCCGGATTAGAGTGGTTTGGTTGTGTGAACCCCCAGCTGCAGCAATATGGCTGTCCACTGCTCCGGGTGCGTGTTCACTACTGTGTGTGTGTACTTGGATGGGTTAAATGCGGAGCTCAAATTCCGAGTACGGGTCACCAAACTTGGCCACATGTCACTTCACTTTCACTTTTTTATTGAAAATTTGGATAATCCACATAAATGTTGGTTTGGAAATAAATTCATGCATGAGGTTTAAGATAATTATGACAAAGGCCTATATTCACTGTTCAGAATACAGCAAAAACTGTACTTCATTGAAGTCTGATATACTATCAAGCCGTTATTTTGAGGTATGACGCTTGGGTTGGTTTGGTCCTATATATTTAATAGGAGTGTATTTAGGTTTGTCTATCACTTCCATGCCGAGGTAGTGCCGCAAGACTTCAGGAACCAGAATCGTCCCTTCCTAATGGAAAAAATAAAATTAATGTCTGTTTAAAAACACACGTTATTTTACTTTAATTTCTACCTTGGTTTGGTGTGTCTCCAAAATCGCAATGACAGTACGTGGAACAGCACAAGCCGTAGCATTAACCTAAAATATGGGGAGGAAAAAAAAATGTGACTGCTACAGCCATTTTTGTGCTGAAGGAAGGGTTCTGTTCTCTTAGTTATCTCCTACAATTATATTTCCTTTTTAAAAGCACGATAAATAGAATGGAAATATTGCAGACACAAAACCTTGCTTACCATATTACTAACATAGTATTATAAATAGTCTCTTACCGTATGCGCATACTTAAGGTTTCCATCATTTTCCTCATAGAGAATGTTAAGGCGCCGGCTCTGGTAGTCTGTGCAGTTTGAGGCACTGGAAATCTGATAAAGGAAGTTGATATTTACCAAAAGGACTCAAAAGCAGACATGTATTCCTCTTTTTATGTTTTAGATTAGTTTTTTTTTACTCATAAATAACAATTACAGCGACTCTTTACTTTTTGTTTTAAAGTATCATTCCAACCTCTCCAAAGCTGCCACGTCCTGGCATCCATGCCTCAATATCATATTTTCGAATGGCAGGAGGCCCTAATTCTTGAGTGGGCATATCCAAGACTCTATGAGAGAAATTGTTATTAGCATTTTATCAGCTAATCTACTAATCTTAATTGTATTCACTGACCAGTGAGAGCTAGTGCAGTGAATGAATATTTCACAATAAATAATTTTGTCCTTGGTGTGAACAGACATCAAGAACCACTGTTAGCTCAAAAGCCACTTAAAGGGGTCATATGATGCTTTTTTAAAGATCATTATTTTGTGTATTTGGTTTAACAGAATACGTTGACATGCTTTAATGTTCAAAAAACACATTATTTTTCAAATACTGCA